AAAAAAAAAATTAAAATTCATAAAAATTGAATAAAAGATTTTAAAACATTTGGTTGATTAAACTACTTCTTTTAAGTGATGTTTGCTTTTTCTTTACAATTGATATATATCCCCAATATTGAATTATGCAACTATATTTTTATAGAGGTTGTAGAGTACACGTATCGTTTTTCTCATACTTAACTGTACCTCTTGACTTAAAATCTTGGTTCAAACTATGTTTTTAGGTGATTTGCGCTAAGTACCTTTATAGTTTGAGCAAGTGGTGGTCAAACTTATTTTTCAATTTTTAAATTTTAAGTGGTTGTCAATAGAACAATGATGTCTTCTTTGCCATAATTCTCATGTCTTTCCTAATGTCTTTATGGGCTTGGGTCCATGGACAAGGGGCTACATAATAAAAATGTGAACCCTTATCAAGTGTTTAGATATTGATACGTTTTTGCAAAGAAAATGATGAATGTTAGAAAATATCATTGTGTTCTTTACGTGTTATGGCAAGTAGAGCCACTAGGAATGAGGGTTGCTAGGCTTTACGCTGGTAGTTTTACTAGCAATAAGTAATATAGAGCTTTAAAGTCAACAATTTTATAGCTTATTAGCAATATTTGCCTGTCAAAATGTTAAGTGCATGCATCAAACTATTGTTCACATAGATCCACAGCCACCAAATGTGCAAGCAAGTATAGAATAACATCAAAGCAGGGAACAAGTTGGGTTAGGTCATTAATAGCCTGGCAGCTACTATACTTGGGTCTACTTAATTGATTATTGTAAAAAATTAATCTTCTTAAATTATGTAAAATTCTAATTGAAAAGAGACTAAATATAATGACACTAGGGTTTAGATTTCATTTAATCTAAATTATGTGACTAATTGAAAAAAAAATAAACATAATGGCACCTGGGTCTCTGTTCTTTTGTATTAAGGAGGAGGTTGGGTTATATTAACAAAAAAGCTGTAACTATTTGGAGTGGTTGCCCCTCTTGATAGGTGTATAAATGGATGGAAGCAAGATGGACATCTTTTCATATCATTATATACTCCTTGGGAAAGTTGTTATCCAAGATTAGTCTTTATTGGGTTGCGAAGAGAAAGGTTGATGTATCTATGGAGAAGGTAGTTCGATGTAGGTTGTTAAGAAATTTGTTACAGGAAGGGAGGTGTCTTCTCTTCATTGGAACTTGCTAACTCCTCTCTTAAACATAACTACAATTCTAAACATTAACTGTTGCATCTTCATCAAACATTTTTCTAATCCTTTTTTTTTTTTTTTGTGTTTCATGGCAATGGGGTAGTTGATTTAGGCAGATTGCTAGTGGAGTTAGTCTGGTGTTGTAACTGTGAGACCTTAGGCCTTTCTCTTGCTTTTCATCTTCAGCATTTGAAGAAATGGAACAATAGCCAAACTTTTAGTAAGCTTCTATGTGGGGCTTGTGTTGTTGACAAACATATTGTTCCTTTTTCCCTTGCATTCTATTCTTTTTGTCTACAAGTGGTAGCGTTTATGTCTCTTAGGTATTAATTTTGTTTTGGTGTTGTTGGTTCTATCTTTTTCTAGTTATGTGTTTACTTTTATAATACTTTGGTTTAATTGAGAATTTTTAATTTTATAGGATAGTAAAACATTAAAGGGTAGATTTAAATTCAAATAATTAATTAAAATTTGTTAAAAAAATTAAGAATAAAGAAAATTCTAAAGTAAAAGGGTTCTTATAAATGTAAGTAGTAGATAATGATAGAAAATGACTAAAAATTTTGTTTTTTTTTTTGGTGAATATTAAAAAATTTGTTACCATGAGTTCATAGATTGAAGTTAATTTAATTATTATTAATTTAGTCTACTCATCAAAAGAAATTATTAATTTAATCTAAACAAATAAGTATAGATGCTGTCGTAACCCAATTTTAATTGGGGCTAAGTGATAAAAGTAAAAGCTCACGGACCATTTTTGCAAAAGTGTGAAGCTTGAAGGGTTGAGAGGAGAAACTAGCAAAATGATGTCGTTTTGCTAGTAAGCTGAAATAAAGGTTGAAAACCCTAGCCACCCAAACCCGTTTCTTTCTTTGCTCCGTCGCCAGCCCTTCTCAAAACAGAAAAATCACAAAATTTTCCTTGACTTATCCCTAAATCTACTCAAGTTTTGAAGAAATTTACGGAGATTGAAAGTCATCAACAAGAGGCGCAAAAGAAGAGTTCGAAATTGATTCAAAGAAGGGAGTTCTAAGCATAGAAGGTATGAATCTAGACTAGAAAAGGTGTAGACGTGGGAAAACTAAGAAATCCCATTCCAAATAGGATTGAGTTGTTATCTTAGGGATTGGGATTTGAGTATTAGAAGCACATTAGGATTGGGTTTTCCTTTTGTCTATAAAAAGGGGGGGGGCCTTCGGCTTCTGAAGAAGGGAGAGGAAGGGGAAATTGGAGGAAGAGAGACCCGAGAGTGGTGAGAGAAAAAGGGGAAACGCAGAAACTTGTATTTGGATTTCAAGAGAATAAAGTCTTGATTTTTCCTTTTCTTCAGGTGTGCATTGTTCATAATTTTTTTTTCTTTCTGCGTTTTCTGTTGTTCATATTTTGTTCTTTCTTCTTCTCTTTTGTGAATTGCTTGCTTGCCCTTTTAATTGTTTCTTTCTTGGTTTATCTGTAATTTGTCTTGAAGCTTGCCACAAACATGATTTCACTTGTTTTTCCCCATTAGTTTGGTTTCCTGCGATCCAAAATAACTATCTGCAGCTTTTTAGTTTGTTTTATGCATGAAGTTTAGGATCTATTATTATGCAATAATAGGAAAAAGGATTGGGAAAAGAAACTCTCTTAGGAAATATGAGGTGGGGTTTAGGCATTAGAAGAAAAAAATAGAAACGAAAATAAAGTCAGGAAGAAGGAGTGAAAAGAAAAAAAAAAAACAGAAGGAAAAAAAAGAAACGAAAAAAAAGGAAGCAGAAACGAAAAAAAAAAGAAGCAAAAACGAAAAAAAAAAAGAAAAAAAAAGGGGGGAAAACAGGAACGAAAAAAAAAAGAAAGAAAGAAAAAAAAAGGAAACTGTTTACACCATAAATTGCAAAATTTTAAATTAATGCCACGTGTAAAATTTTTATTGGCTGGAGGAGTTTTGAGCCATCTCAGATTCGGATCTTGGGTCCCATGACAGGTCAGCACATGTGTTGGCAAGATAAGAAAAATAAAGATAATGTTGAGTAATTATCTTTTGAAATAGAAAGAGATAATGACAGTTGGCAAGATAGGGGAGGATCACATTTAAAAAGGGGATTTTATCGGATAAAGTCCAAGTGGCAAAATTTGAAAGGGGATTAGACTAGGTCAAAGGTGAGGTGTCCCATTACTCCAACAAACTTCCGATGGTTGAGTAACTGCCGGCATGAATGGGGAACAAAAAGGAAACTTCAGCACAGAAGGAGGGACGGCCAGCCCTACTCAAAAAATCAGCAACTTTTCATACTTTGATTTTCTCTGCACATGCTTCCAGATTTCGGTTTTTTAGCACAGATTTCATATTTCAGCACAGATTCCATTAGAATTAGGTTGTTTTTCCTCATTCCAGTAAACAAATTTGTCCCTATATTCAGTTAAAACAATTTCCTTTCATGCAATGAACTTCAATCCTTCAAGTTTATGCAAGGTATTGTTTTCTTTTTATTTGTAATTAATTTAATGTTTATGTTAAGTAGCATTGTTTCAATGATTACTTATGTGGCCTTCATGCTTCTTTCCAATTTCAAGTCCTTCAATTTATTCACTGTTCACGTCATTTATTTTATTGTTAATGTTTAATTTCAGTGTTAATTAGGTTTAAGATTCCAGATCTGCAGCAGTTTAATTTCCAAATCTGTCAATGGATTGCACTTTTAATTTCACCATAAGCATGTTTAATTTAAATTGGGTACATTTCTTTCTCGCAAGTTTATTTTAAATTGCAAATAATTTAGAGTAATTAGGATCTGTTAATTTTAAGTCACGGTAGTGTTTAAGTCCTTGGAGTTGTCCAAGGCAGATTTCGTAACCCATTCTGCAGGAAGGCATCCCTCCCTCTTGCAAATCGTCTGAAGGCGCAAATTTCATTTTAATCCAACGTTCTTCCCGCCATCTGCGAAGAGGTCGACCGTGAGGAAGGAGAGGGTCGTTGGGAAAGTCCTCCTTTCTTACTTTCAGCAAAGTAAGTGGCACGCCCGCATCAGATTTCACACGTGCGAGGCCACTAGAGGATTTTTGAGGAAACAGAAACCGAAACGAAAAAAAATGATAACAGGTTTGTTTTTTTTAAGTGATTTTTTTTACTATTATTATTATTTTTGGTAATTGTTTTTTGACATAAAATTGAAAAGTTTCAAAATTAAAGCATGTGATAATCATATTATATGAAAGTTGTGGGGTGTTTAACACTTTTCTCTTGCTTAATTGACCTTTCGATTTTAGTTAATCTCTATAGACCTGGGTGATCTATCTTACTTCATTTGGATGGACGGCGACTCCATCCATTTTGGCACGTTAAGAGATGTGATCAATGACAAAGCTTGATTAAAAGTTAAGAGATGTGATCAATGACAAAGCTTGATTAAAATTAAAGGAGGGCCAAAATTTTTTTTTAAAGAAGATCTTTTTAGAGGACAAATTAATAAAAAAGCTATTTATATTTTAATGGTTTTCAAAATTTTTGAGAGGTTCATGGCCCTTAATACATAACTAAACTCTGTCCTTGGATGTAATTGTAAAACTATATAATTTTTTATTGCTTTTAACATATTATATTGAACTTTATATGATATTCAAAATTGTTATGTAATGTCCCAAATTACTAATCTCTTATGTTTGAATTAGTTGTTATGGTTAATAAGAAAATTAATTTAATATTAAGTAATCATTTGCACTTCAAAGTCCATATTAAACCTTAATTATACAATCCTAGAACCCATTAACTTTTTCTTTTTTTTTATTATTATTATAGGTCTATAATTGATATACAAATAGACTAAAATGTTTTATTAAATATAGAGAATGACAAGTAATTTAGAATTTTTTTTAGTAACCATGCCAATTAATAGAAATGGAGTAATGAGAAAAAAAATCTCAAGAAGAGAAAAGTTTTCCTTTTAAGTTCTCTCTCTTTCGTTTTTTTTTTTTTTTTCTTTGAATAGAGATACATGTCTATTAAGGGTTGAGGATTGAACCCATGACAATTTATGGCCAAAAAGCCCATGCCAATTGCCCAGTAGTGCAGCCTAGAAACAACTGGGCTAATAGCCTGCATGCCCTTTAAATCCTACTTTAAACTAGGACAATCTACACATGTTTTAATATTTGTACACGAAAAACTTTAATTAGTACTTGACAAGATATTACAACTATAAAGGTCATCACTTGGCAACAATCATCATAGTAGAGAGAAAAGAGAAATTTGCAGCTCTTTGGTCATGGCAGAATCCTTCACATTTTGTATTAATGAATCAAACGTAAGATTGGCTATAATTATCTTCAACAGAGCTAAGGTGACAAACCTTATTATTGCCATTTCCATTCCTTTTCTTCCCACTTCCATGCCTCTTCTTCCTCTTGCTAGCTCCACCACATGTGATCGATATCTCACACCCAAAGACAGTTCCAAAGCATGAGAAAAGCCCTCTATTGTCCTTCTTTTTGTGTGAGTTCCTTCGCTTGCTCAAGTTTACACTTCTGTATTGGTGATTTGGCAGTGGCGGGATATCCGGCCGCCATCTCTCTAGCTTCATGCTTAGGTCTTCTTGTTTCTCCTTTTTTGTCCACTCCTTTAGCAATGTCTTTGCCTCCGATGGTTTATCATCTTGTATTGGTGATCTCAACAATCCCTTAGCTATGGCAGCCGCCACTACAGATGCCGAGGGCCCTACATCAGAATTACAAAGGGACTCTCCATTCACCATACTTCCGCCGCATTTTACCATGGAACCGTTGCACATAGATTCCGCATTAACGACTGATGATCCTGCATTCACAATCGATCCCCCATTTATAATTGAACCAATGTTACGTGCATATTCGTCTGTGGTTAGATCCGTTCGATCACTCTGTGAACGACAGAGTTTGGGGGTCCCATTCTGTTTTTTACGGTTTTGATTTTTCTTATTCTTGTTATCATTGTGCTTGGTTTTATTGGAACCTTTGGACTCGTCAATGGAGGTGTAATCAATGGAAGAAGATTCACTTAATTCGGTGTAGATTGGCATGCTACGCATGGTGCTTTCTAGAAGTGCGACACCCATGTTTAGCATACCTTGTGGGCGACCGTTAGGGCGACGGACTTGAAGCGAAACGATACGCATTGTGGAGTTATTGACTTTGGTATCACGGCTAGAGCGCAGCCTGAAGAGATCATTGAGGAGGACACGAACATAGCCAATTAACGCATCTTTGACCCATGCTGCCGTATAGATCTCAATGACAATCTCTGCATCTTCACAGTGGAGAAACTTGTCATCCACTCGAAACATCAACCGATCATTCCACATGGGGTTGATGTGACCCATTTGATCGACACCTGTGGCCAATTTTCGCTCTGGATCTGGCTCTACCCACGCTACTGCGTAGGTCTTCATAGATTTGGACATAGGGGCCAAGTCTTGTGCATTGATCAAGTCGATTTCTAAGACCCTAGATGAATGAGCGGTGGGAGCCATTATGCAATAAGGGCGGTGGTGGCGAACTGCCTTTTGCCACCGACCTACTAAAGAAGACGCATGCAAGGTAGGTTCCTCCACAAAAGGTAAGGAAAATTTTGGAGGGAGATTTGTAGGAGTTTTGGAGGCGAAATGGTAGGATGGTTGTTAGTTTGAGATGGTTTTAGACCATTAGCTTTTTTTAGAAGGTTTTCTTCATTTTTTTTCTGTGTTATTTTGCAAGATAGGCCTCTCAATCAATCCTTTAAATAGATTAGGATGATTAAAATGAATTTGATATAATGAACTTTGTATTCTGTTGGTTTTGGACTAAAAAGGAAGTAACAGGCGGTGTCATATGTGTGATATGTGTTAAGGATCTATAGTCCACTATTTCTCAAATGTTTTAAAATTTTCTATCTTCATTATATAATTTGAATGTTTTGACTTCGTATGAATTGAAATTGCAACCCTCCAATTAATTTACGCATCACTTAGTATGATTTTGGATTTTAGTTTTTGAATTTCATTTTTTATATATTTAGTAATTAACACCATATTTAGATTAAATTAAATCAATTATAATTTTTGTAAGATATTTTGATTTCCAAATATAGTAGCAATTACTAAATATAAAAAAATTTAAACCATATTGAGCGGAACCTTAATTTTTCATTTAATGGATAAAAAAAAAGCTAGCTGCAATATTATGGTTGGCCTTCCAATTGTTTAGGCAAAACATGCAGATTAGCCCCTCCACTCGTCGTGTGGTGGCAGATTAACCCCTCAAGTCAGTTCACACACAAAAGAACCCCTAAACTCATTTTCAGTGGCAAATTAGCCCCTCTGTGTAACCTTATGTCATCCATCCATCATCCATCTGTTAAGTTTTAACATTTCGCTCGTCAGGCCTTATTTTGCATTTGACCTGGATATTTTTTTCTGAGATATATGCTTTATTGGATGCTTTGCTGGATTCCTTGTGATTAATGTTTTAATTTACTTTTATGCCCTTTTGTTTGGTCAAATCACTCTGATCCACAGTTGCTAGCAACTTACTTACTGGGCTTTTAGCTCATGATATTCCCCCCATTTCAGATCCGTAGATTGGAGTAGCAATCACCAGTTGGGGAGTTTTGGTAGAGGTCTCGTTTGCTCGTTGTACGTAGAAGATAGGATCTCGTGCTTTTGATATGGAGGTGCATCAATGTGTTAGCAAAACGACGATTCGACTTTTGATATTTTGAAAAGCTTTTGAGAAGGATTTGCCCTCATATGATTTTGTGTAAATTACTTTTATGTATACAATATTTAAACTAATTAAATGAGTTTAGCATGATTTATTTTATAACTTTGAGTATTTTGACATTTTCTTAAGACATTTTCTTGTTAAAGTAGTTTTCCTTTACAAGTATTTGATTTTCTATTTGTAAAATTTAAATTGATTTGAATGTAGGTTTTCTTTTAGGGCAACGTTTTATATTAAAAGTGTTTCTACTTCCGCTACAATCTTTTACTATAATTCTTATTTTCGAACTCCTCCAGGACTAAGGGTACCTAGGGGAGGTGTGTTATATTTTTTATATTAGAGCCAAGGTTTTGCTAGTACATTGATCTGCCATGTAAGTTAGAATCTAGTGTCATAGGATTAGATTTTGCCTAACTATTAGTTGTGCTTTTTCTTTGTTTGTATCAGTACCAAAGGAGAAAGATGAGTCATGGAGACAATACTTCTACTCCTCCTCTTGCTGATGATGTGAATATCCGAATGGATATAATGCAAAAGGCCATTACGGACATGAGTTCTGTCTTTAGGGATTACCTTCTACATCAAAATAATAATAATGCCCAACAAAACACTAGTGGTAACTCACAACAAACAGTGGACTCAAGGGAAGGAAAGGAGCAGTTGACACTGGTGAAGCAATTTCAAAATATGAACCCGCCGAGCTTCAAGGGAATTCCTGATCCTAATGTGGCTGAGTCTTGGGTCAAGAAACTAGAAAAGATGTTCAAGCTCCTAAAGTGTACTAACAAGCAAAAAGTGGAGTTGGTAGTGTTTAAGTTAGAAGGTGAAGCTGATGATTGGTGGATAGCTGCTCAAGATGGGTTTTCTAAGAGGGGGAAGAAGGTCACATGGGACAAGTTTGTTCAACCCTTCTATCGAAAATATTTCTCTGAAGCTATTTTAGAAAGACAGGAACTAGAGTTCATGAACTTGAAGCAAGATGATATGGCAGTTGATGAGTATCAAGCTAAATTCAATTCTCTTGTGAAGTTTGCTCCTTACTTTGTTAATGATGAAGCTAGGAAGGCAAGGAAGTTTCAGAAAGGGTTGAAAGCTTCCATTAAAAATAGGGTGGTTCCTCAAATGTTAAAGACTTATGATGAGGTCTTAGCCACAGCTCAAATAATTGAGCAAGATATGGATGAGCAAAAAATGGAGACTCAAGACCAAAAAGGTAAGGGAAAGAAAAGACTACCAATAACTAGCCTTTCAACAAGAAGCCTAATCAAAGAGGAAAAGAAAGATGCTAGAAAGCAACAAACAGAGTTATGATTCTTGCAAGAGGTGCGATAAGAATCATGGAGGGAAGGAATGCTATTGGTAGACTAGGGCATGTTTTAAGTGTGAGAAGATGGGTCACTTGATCAAGGATTGCCTGATTCTTAAAGTAACAAGCCAACAGCTAAAGGAGCAAGATAATAAAAAGCTAAGGGTTCAAGGAAGAGTTTTTGCTATTACAGAACAACAAGCTCAAAACACTCCTACAGTTATAAAGGTAAAATACCTATCTCTTTTGGGAATGCCCATGTGTTGATTGACTCTAGATCTACCCATTCATTTGTGTCACCTAAGTTTGTGCCCTTTTTGCATGTGGAGCCTAAGACCCTTGATTGTGTGCTTGTGATGAATACTCCTTCTAAGAAGGTTTTAACATCAAGAACCATCTATAGATCCTGTAGAGTTATGGTAGAGGGTAGAGTTTTGCTTGCCGATCTGATTTTGTTAGGAATAGTGGAATTTGATGTCATACTTGGTATGGATTGGTTGTCTACCCATTATGCCATGGTTGATTGTTATGAGAAGGTGGTTACCTTTTCCGCTCCTAACTAGGTAGTGATTCGATTTGGAGGAGAAAATTTTGGATCATTTTCATTACTTGTTTCTTGCATGCAAGCCAATAAAATGTTGCAACATGAATGTTATGGATATGTGGCATATGTTTTTGAGTCTAAAGACAAGCTAGTGTTTGTAGAAGGAATTTGAGTAATAGAAAACTTTCCTGATGTTTTCCCTAAGGAGTTGCTTGGGTTACCTCTAGATAGGGAGATTAAATTTATCATAAACCTTGTGCTTGGTACTTCACCAATATCCCAGCAACCTTGTAGGATGGCTCCAACAGAATTAATTGAATTGAAGAAGTAGTTGCAAGAGCTTCTTGATAAGGGCTTTATTAGACTTAGTACTTCTCCCTGGGGTGCTTCAGTTTTTTTTGTGAAAAAGAAAGATGGCTCACTTAGATTGTGCATTGACTATAGACGGTTGAATCAAGTCACCATAAAAAACAAATATCCTCTGCCAAGGATTGATGATTTGTTTGATCAATTACAAGGAGCTTGTGTCTTTTCCAAAATTGATCTTAGATCGGGTTATTATCAACTAAAGGTTAAACTTGAGGATGTGATGAAGACTGCTTTTAGAAGCAGATATAGGCACTACGAATTCCTGGTAATGCCATTTGTTTTAACCAATCCTCTTGCAGCTTTTATGGATCTTATGAATAGGGTCTTTCAACTGTACTTAGATAAGTTGGTCATTGTCTTTATTGATGACATTCTTATCTTTTCTCTTGATGAAGAAAGCCATAAAGAGCATCTTGCCATTGTATTGCAGATTTTGAGAGAAAAGAAGTTGTATGCGAAGTTTGATAAGTGTGAATTTTGGCTAAATCAGATTAGTTTTCTAAGTCATATTGTTTCTAAAGATGGCATATCAGTTGATCCTAGTAAAGTGGAAGCGGTTGTGCAGTGGGAAAGGTCGACTAGTGTCACCGAAGTGCGAAGCTTTCTTGGGCTAGCAAGATATTATAGAAGGTTTGTGGAGGGATATTCAAGGATTTCTGATCTGTTAACACAACTTACTTGTAAGAATTAGAAGTTTGAATGGACAGATAAATGTGAGTGAAGCTTTCAAAAGTTGAAGAACAGATTGGTCACAGCACCAATTCTTGCTATTCTTGACAATGGAGGAAACTTTGTGGTATGTACGGATGCTTCTCACAAAGGCTTGGATTGTCTACTCATGCAACATGACGGGTGATAGCTTATGGGTCCAGACAGCTCAAGACATACAAGAGGAATTACCTTACACATGATCTAGAACTTGCTGCCATAATTTTTTCACTTAAGTTATGAAGGCACTATTTGTATGGAGAAGAGTTTGAGGTGCACATTGATCACCAAAGCTCGAAATATTTATTTTCACAAAAAGAGCTGAACCTAAGACAAAGAAGATGGATGGAGTATCTAAATGACTATAGATGCAAAATTGTCTATCAACTTGGAAAGGGAAATGTGGTTGCAAATGCACTCAATAGAAAATCAATTGGCACCTTAGCAAGCTTAATGTTGATGGAGTGGAAACTCTTAGAAGAATTCAAGGATTTGAATATCAGAATTTTGTCACCAAAGTCTGATGTACTAGTGTCTAGCTTGATGGTTTAGCCTACATTATTGTTGAGGATCAAGGAAGCACAACAAAAAGATTCAAGATTGATGGAGTTGATGAAAGACAACGAGAAGAGCTTGAAAATGGGTCTTCATATTTCGGATGATGGAGTTATAAGACTTGGAGATAGAATTTGTGTTCCATATGATGAAGGGTTGAGGGTAGAACTACTCCAAGAAATACACAAGTCTAATTACACCATTCATCCTGGGAGTACCAATATGTATCATGACTTGAAAGAAACATTCTAGTGGAAAAGCATGAAGAAGGATGTGGCTAAATACGTGTCCAAGTGCTAGACTTGTCAAGTAGTAAAAGCAAAGCACCAAAAGCCAAGAGGGCAACTTCAACCTTTGCTTAAACCAGAGTGGAAGTGGGAAGTCATTTCAATGGACTTTATTGTGGGATTGCCGAGGACAAGAAGGTGATTTGATGCAATTTGGGTGATTGTGGACAGATTGATAAAGTCAGCTCACTTTTTGGCCATAAAACAAAAAGACCCGTTGGACAAGTTGGCTAAGCTTTATGTTCGGGAGATTGTTAGACTCCACAGAGTTCTAGTGATCATTGTATCAGATAGAGATCCAAGGTTTATTGCAAGATTTGGGAGATCTTTTAAAAAAGCCATGGGAACTCAATTGAAATTAAGCACAGCATACCACCCACAAACTGATGGGCAATTTGAAAGGACTATTCAAGTGCTTGAAGACATGCTTAGAGCTTGTGCATTAGATTCGCCTAAGAGTTGGGATGATCATCTTCCATTAGTAGAATTTGCTTATAATAATAGCTATCATTCCAATGTTAAGATGGCACCTTATGAAGCTCTTTATGGTAGAAGACGTAGAACTCCAATTTGTTGGGTAGAAGTCGGTTATGGACGACTAATGGGGCTGGCTTTTGTGCAGCAAACAACAGAGAAAGTGAGATTAATTCAGCAGAGGCTTAAAGTGGCTTAGGATAGACAAAAGAGCTATGCAAATAATATAAGCAGACCTCTGGAATTTGAAGTGGGAGATCATGTATTGTTGAAGATGTCACCAACTAAAGGAGTTTATAGGTTTAGTTTAAAAGGAAAGCTTAGTCCAAGATATATTGGCCTGTTTGAAATTCTTGAAAGAGTGGTTGAAGTGGCTTATAGAATTGCGTTGCCTCTAGAATTGTCAAATGTGCATAATGTATTTCATGTGTTTATTTTGAGGAAGTATGAGTCGGATCCTTCACATGTCATAAATTATGAACCATTAGAGTTAAAGGAAGATTTGAGTTACATTGAACAACCAGTATAGATTTTGGATAGGAAAGAAAAAGTTTTGAGAAACAAGACTGTCCTTTTGGTGAAAGTGTTATGGCGGCATCATAGTGAGAATGAAGCCACATTGGAGCTTGAAAGTCAAATGAGGGAGCAGTATCCAAATATATTTTGGTGAGCTGAATGATTTGGTGGACCAAATCCTTTTAAGATGGGGAGGATTTAACACCTCACATACCTTGGTGAATAATTTAAAAATTAGAGTCCTTTATTTTATAGTTCTAGGGATTAAGGTGAGTGGATTTAAAGTTTAGGGGTTTTAAGTAGAACTTAGGAGGAGTTGAAGGGCCTTAACTCCATTATTCCAATTTTTTTTACCACATGGCACTATACTAACCAAGGATTTTTCGGCTGGACTTAGATAAGCCTCCAGAAGGCTCCCGAACCCACCATTCATCTGTATCCTTCCTTCTTCCCAGCTGTGCCTTTCTTTCTCCTTTTAGCTTTGTGTGGTGCTAAATCTACGATCTCTAGCTGAAAATTTTCTTGCAATTTTACTACTTTATGCTTTGATTTTTATAGGTAAGTATAAGTTTTTGCTATGCATTTGAGTTGGAATTTTGGGTAAGATATAGGATTGTCACAATATGTTAGAGGTTAGTTTAAATTAGTGAGATTTGATTTTAAAATCTTAGTTTAAGAGATTTCCTTAGACGTCAAAAATTTTGTTAGAAAGATATAATATTTTGGGGTTTATACGGGAATAGATCTATGATGAGTTTATTTTCCTACTTCAGTTATTGTAAATTTTATTGATAAATATTGTTGTGGACTTCATATACTTACCTTGTGTGGTGATTTTCTTGCAAATTAATGTGGCAAAATAATTCCCTATGTTTATTTGGAAGTTGTAGTGCTGTCCATGCTTTGGAAGGAAGATAGTTTTCCCTAATTATTATGATTGTGCTTTAATTACAAATGTTTGGGAAGGAAGTTAGTTTCAAGTCTTATAAGTGAAATTTACAGTTCAGCATATGATATTTAAAGTGAATGATATTAGAAACGTAACTAATTTTATGAAATACAAATGAAATAATATTTTGATATTATTTGGGAAATGTCTTGAAATTATTTGACATTTGTATGTGTTTGTGGCTGTGGAGTAAGTAGACCTAAGCTTAAAGCTTGAGGTATTCAGTAGACACTTCAGGGTATTCAGTGGACCTCTACACCGTAGGGTGACTACCGTGATTGGCTCCAGTACAAGTGTTGCTAGCACACATTAGTGGACTCCATAACACTGTGTGATTTTCGATTTTATGCATTATGCTTGTGATTTCATATTCATGAGCATATGATTTTATGATAAGAATTTGACTTAAATGTCATTGGTTATTTCTTGATATGTTTGATTTTGATTTGGGGTATTAAATTATTATTTAAATACTAAAATTTATAATATTATGTGGTTTGGCTCTATTGTATCTCATGCCTTTTGTGTGCATAGGTCTAGGGGTCTTAGAACCCAAGTTTATAACTTAAACTTAATACTTACTAGGCTTTTAGCTCATGATATTCCCCCCCATTTCAGATCCATAGATTGGAGTATCAATCACCAACTGGGGAGTTTCGGCAGAGGTCCTGTATGCTCGTTGTATGTAAAAGATAACACCTCATGCTTTTGATATGGAGGCGGATCAATGTGTTACCAAAACGACGATTCGACTTTTGATATTTTGAAAAGCTATTGAGAAGGATTTGCCCTCATGATTTTGTGTAAATTACTTTTATGTATATAATATTTAAACTAATTAAATGAGTTTAGCCCAGTTTATTTATAACTTTGAGTATTTTGACTTTTTCTTGAGACATTTTCTTGTTAAAGTAGTTTTCCTTTACAAGTATTTGATTTTCTATCTGTAAAATTTTAAATTGATTTGAATGTAGGTTTTCTTTCAAGGAAACATTTTATATTAAAAGTGTTTCTACTTCCGCTACAATCTTTTACTATAATTTTTATTTTTGGATTACTCTAGGACTAAGGGTACCTAGGGGAAGTGTGTTATAATTCAAGTGATGACATACACTTGCACATAATCAAACATCATCAAAATCATCCATCAAAAAGCAAACATATAAATTTCCTAATATACTTAACTTCCAAGCAAACTCGTCAACACTGTATCAGTATACGTATCAGTTTTGCTACTAGAACGGTATGTATCAGATACCAAAATTTTTTGTATACCATTTCAGATTTATGCTATAAATATATAGTTTTATAAATTAAATATCAAAATTTAAAATAATGATAAGATAAACTAATGTTTAAAACTATCATATTCTTATAAATTGAAAACAAGTTTAAAATGGCCAACTTTATAAAACATTTATAATTTTTTTCTTTTTTTTCAACATTAAGATAATATTAGAAAGCATAACAGTATTCTGAGTTTAATATTATACAATTCGCAATGCAAAATACTTCCACAAGGGAAGAAATCATATCTTCTAAGTATAACAAGAATGCAAAAGACAAACCAAAACATTACTGAGAAGAGAGAGTAATAACCAGTGAGTATTGAGAACTAGAAGTCTAAATCAGAAATTGTCAAAAGGAACTAAAAATATACACTTTTAGGCCCTCAACTTCTAATATATGCATATTTTTTGTTCTTCCACTTTAAGTTAAGGGATTAAAAATGTGCATATTTAGACAAACTCAACGTAATAACTAACTAATAAAAGGACTAAAAAGATACAAATTTCATAGTTGATGGACTAAAAAAGTAGATAAAAAAAGTTAAAAGATGAAAATTATGCAAAACATTAAAGTTGAGGATCAAAAATGGAATTTACCCTTTTTAAATTTGAATTGATTTGTACCGGCAAATTTTTGATGTACCAGTCGATACGCCTAAATACTAGTCGGTACACTAGAATTTGACTAAAATAGGCGAAATTTGATCGAAACAAAATTGAACCTTGTACTGTCTTGGCTTAATGAAAAAACCAATATGAAAGGGTATCAATAACATTGCTTCCAAGTGTAAGACTTTGCCTAAGGTTCTACTCAGCTTCCAAGTGCTATCATCAAAATCATGAAAATAATGAGACAAGTAAATTATAATGTGACAAATCATGTAAAGTGAAACAAGTTATTAAAATTACTCATGTAAATCAAATCATCAACCATCATCAAAATGGCATACATGACATTGAAAATTACTTATACCATCAAAAGCCCATCATGAACTATATGTGATAAATAATCAATCTAATCATTCACATATGTCAAGCATGTAAATATGAAAGAGTAATATATATAGTAATCAACAAGGTTGTATCAACATTAGAATAGACATATCAAATGATATCATACTCAACAAGCATAAGCATCAAAGAATGAGCACACATGAATAAACAATTAATAGTCATATTAATGTAATTAGATTCAATGAATAAATGCAATAAAATAAATGATACCAATTTGAGCATATAAGTGAAGCATTCAAAAACAAATTTTTCTTTGCACTTCCACTTCAACATTCTTGTTGAAGCATAAGTCTTTATCAAGATCAACTTTGCTTTTCTTATGACTTTGCCATCAACTTTACCTACAAAACAAAATCAAGTTTTGAATTTTTGTACCCAAATTTGCTTGGGTCCTTGGGAGTTAGTGCTTAAAGTTCTTTTTGGAAGCCAAATTTGCCTCACTTTGCCTTGAGTTATTAATTTCTTCAAAAGACACACTTGTGCAATATGTCCTTTTCCTTTGCAACAATAACAAGCAACTTTAGGATTAGAGAATTGACTTGCTTTTACAAAGAAGTTTTTAAAAGTCTTTTGCTTTTTAAAATAATCAAAATCCAATACCCCCTTTGTCAAAAACACTTCTTTGGGAACTCAAGATAAAATCAAATTTTCCCTTACTCAAAGTGAATTAGGAAATCACATTCTCAAGATCACAAACTTTCTTTTTCAAATTCTCATTTTCCTTTTCTAAAGCATTATTATATTCTTCATCCTTCAAAGATACAAACTCAACATTTAAAGAGGCATTCTCAACTAAAACCTCATTTTGTTTTGAAAGAGATTAAGCACATGTTTAAGTAAAGAGATAGATTTAGTAAGAGCAAGCTTTTCATTTTCTAGTCTCTTGATATCATTAATAGAGCAATCAAGTACTCTACACAACTTATCATAAGAATAATTATAAGAACTATCATGAAATGAACTACAAAAGTTTGAGTTTACCTCTTCATCAAAGAAGCTACCCTCTTAAGCCACAAAGCAAAGACACACCATTTTCCAAGAAGCCTTTATTCCTAGATGTGCTACATTCATCATTGCCCTATGTGGCAACAAATTCTTTCTTTTTCTTGCCCATCTTCAATTTGGGGCATTCATCTCTATAGTGTTCTATCTCATTACACTCATAGCATTTGATATGCTTCTTGCTTAACTTTCCTCTATCATCATCACTACATATTCTTCCACTAGGGAAGTGAATTTCCTTGTTTCTTCTAAAAGATTTCCTTTTGAGGTTCCCCTTCATATATTTCTTCACCTTCTTTGAAACCCAATTTGGTGATGTCTTTTTCATTGTAAGACTCATCATCACTTTCATTGGCTTTAAAGGCTAGATTTTTCTTTCTCTCAACAACTTATTCATCACCTATCAAATCGATCTCATGAGTCACCAAAGGCCCAATAAGGTCATCAAGCTTTAATAAGTCGAGAACCTTAGATTCATCAATGGCCATCTTCTTTGCTTCCCAACTCATTAGTAGACATCTAAGAACTTTTCTCACCAATTGACTTGTTAGATATGTCTTCCCAAGAGCTTTAAGGTTGGTGATGCTTTCATTAAACATTGTATACATGTCAACAATGCATTCATCAGGTTCCATCTTGAAAAGCTTATACATGTGGATGAGTCTATTGATTTTGGACTCCTTCACTTGGATGGTGCCTTCATGAGTAGTCTCCAACATGTCCCAAATCTCCTTGGTCTTTTCACATATGGAGGTTGCATTGAATTTCATTCAATTGAGAGCACATGGAAGCATATTGATGGCTTTGTTGTTGATCTTGGTCTTTTCAAAGTCATCATCTTCCTATTCACATTCACTTTTAGGCATTTCAATTTCTCCAACCTTCTTCATAAAAACATATAGCCCATTCATAGTGACAAGCCCAACTTTTGGCTCACTAGCAAGCACGAAGACTCTTATCTTATTCTTCCAATGATTATAATTTGTACTATCAAAGAAAGGAGGCTTAGTAGTAGCCAATTCTTCCATGGTGGGGTAAACTTGAAGATGAGCCATCTTGATCACTACGAGGTTGTTAAGCCCTCTTGATTGGAGCCTTTGCTTTGATACCAATTGTTGGTTCAAATACTCCAAAAGGGACATCAATTGGAGTTTTCAAAATTTTCTTCTTTTTGTAACCACCAAATGAAAAACAAAGAAAGCATAGAAGAAGAGCTTGCACAAGAAATTTTATAGAGGTTCAACCCAACCCTTTGGCACTTAATCTTCTACCTTTGCTTCACTTACCAAGGACTTCCTCCATACTCTTCACTAGTGCTCAAGAGTAGCTTAAAGCTACCTATTCCTTTTACAAAGTGTTTTTCACTCAAACACTCGCCTTTACAAAGAATCCCAATAAACCTTACATGGTTTCTCTCTTGAAGTCTTCACTCACCCTCAAGTATCTCTTCTTAAAGCTTCACTCACTCCTAAGATCAAAAAGAAATGGTAGAAAGAAATATTACAAAGAATATGATCGCTCAAAGATCTAATTTGCAAGTTGAAGCTCAAGCTCTTGAAAGAATTTGCAAATCTAAGTTCAACTCTTGTTTTTGATCTTTTAATATGTGTCTAGAGTGTCTCTAAGATGTTTACCAATCATGTTTATAGAACTAAGGTTGAAACTAACTATTTATAGCCATTGGGATGCACTAAATGCTTAACAGACACATTTGATTTGAAAAACTAGTCGATACTATCTAATTAAGAGTTGGATCTAGAAACCAAGAGTCAAATATATAAAGTCTAGATTTGATTCTCCAAACCAAGAGTACCAAGAGTTGAATTTTGAAACTAAGTGTAACACCCCATATACTTTAGTGAATACATTAATAATTGGTGTAACACCCTATATACTTTAGTGAATAGATTAGAAATTATAGTTCTTTATTTTATAATTTTAGGGATTTAATTATTAGATTTAGTGTTTGAGGGTTATAACTAGAATTTAGTAAAAGTTAAGGGATATTTGACTCCATTATTCCACTTTTTGTGCTATGTGGCACAATATTTACCAAAGCTTGGACTTAAAAATGCCTTACGAACCCTTGAGCTTCCTCTAAAAATTCAAAAACCAAAAGCCATTCCTCTGCATCCTTCCTCTTTATTCCAACCATCCCTTACACCTTTCCCTCTTTTCCAACCAAGTGTGTTGTCTTGAATTAGGAAAGTTTAGTGGAGCACCTGAGCATCCTTTGAAAGATTTTAGAAAGAGAAAAAAAATCCCTTTTTGACCTAAACACCCAAAAACCCACTTCTCCTTATCCTTTTGAGCTTCAACCAAAGAGAGGAGACTTTTGTAGATCTACAACATGGAGCATACTGTTTTAGTGACTTTCTTCTTCAAATTCTACTATTAATTCCTATTGTTCTCTTCAAGGATGAGTTTTAGTTACAAATTTGGGTTAGAGTTTTGGGTAGATTATATATTTACCATAATATACTAAAAATTAATTTAAATTAGTGAAATCAACTCTAAATCCTTTGTTTAAGAGATTTTGGACATTAGAACTT